CATATAAAAGTCTTCATAACCTCAAGTCAAACGACAACGTTTTTCGATTACCCGAGAGACACTTATGACACAATTGTATAATCCGTGAAAGTGTTCTCCAGTTGGGTCTATCCAGCATACAAGTTCTCTACCTCATAACTTACATGTGCATGCCTTAATTCTGTAAGCATCTTTACGTGCACTAGTCTCAATTGTATAAGAGCTGACCAAGTTCTTGCTAGTATACTTGACTAGTGATATTTAAGAATTCACATCAATTATGCAATATTCTATGGTCATTTTCGTGTTTGTTAAAAGCACATTTTTATATCAAATACAGCAATTGAACGAAGTCTCAAAATATCTTATATACATGCAAGGATATGAATGATAAGAAGAATTAGAAGAAAGGAAGAGATCAGAGAAGTTGCAACTGATGTGGAGTTTTTAATATTAATTTTTACTGATTTTAAATCTAAAATGATTAAATCTAATTTTTATTTATCTTTCTTTGTCACTTAAAAATATTTAAATTAAAATTTTAAAATAAAAATATGAGGAGTCAATGATGTAGCATCTATGTGGCTGCCATGTCAACAAAAGTCAATGTTAAAGTTGACTTCAGTCTGGTCAACCGTTACTTATTACCGTTAACGAAATCTTCAGGACATAGATGATACTGACACACAACACAACTATCATATGTTGGGACATAAATGAAATATTGAATAGCTCGGGACACAAATGACACTTTCTTAACCGCTCGGGTTTCTATTAACACTTTTACATATTCATATCCTTTTGTAATTAATTAAACCAGATTTAATTTCCACGGAACTCAACATTCATAAGATTTCGATGGAAAACACAAGTACTCATATAAAATATAAATTTTATTTATTCAGATCGATCTCCGTGGCTGTGCTGTTGTTTATTTGCTCCAGCTATACGATGCCGGCCAGCAGTACTAGCAATGTAATGTAAAGCATGCATGCAGTAACTAGCAAACGGTACGTATAACGGTATTCAGTTTACATTACAAGCACATCGATGGATCTATCTATGTAGAGCACGCCATCTGTGAAGCTGCTTGTAATTAAGTATCATGGTTATTATTAATGAATTAATTAATCCCTGGTGCAGAGTGTTATGGGGAGATTATCGCAATCCAGATTCGGGTTTAAAGAGAAGAGCTTCTTCATTGTGATGCTGGATTTTCTCACCACATCGCAGCACGTGTCTGTTGAAGCCACCACTGTCAAGCCTGTACAATCCTCCACATGCGCAGCTACGTACGTACGTACACCGGCCGCAAACCCAAGTTCAGTTTCATCATCAGTAGAGAGAGGGAGGGATCATGCATGGCATGGAGGAAGATGAATGAAAGTTCATTAAACATGAATATGATTACCTGCAAAGATTGGAGATCGGCCATGGAGAAAGACTAGTGCGGAAACCATCGCCAGAAGAAGAAGAAGAAATGGGGAGATTCTTCTTCCCAACATGCTTCCAGACTTCATCATCATCATCGTTCTCTCTATATATATATTTGTCGGATTTGCTTAAGAAATTATGTTTTTTTTTCTTCTTCTGTTTGATTAATGATTCAATCCAGGCGGCCTTATTTATAGTGCTCGGGCAGAGAGGCATGAGCCCAGAAATTTGAGCTTAGGAAAATTTCAATAATAAAATGAAGAACGCAGTTTTGTTAGCCATATTCTCTCAATTCTATCTTTTGTGCTCTTTGTAGATGTCTGTTTAGGTCGGCCGGCATTATCCTTCCGACGATACCTCTTCTTTCTTCACTCAGGCATATGATAAATGATAATTATTCCCCTCAATTATATATATATATATATTGGTTCAAGTAGTTGACAATCTCATTCGCCTTCTCATTTTTAACCCCTACTTCCCACACAGACCCAACTAAGAACTCCTACTGCCGGCAAATGATAATTATTCCATAGCAAGATAATTATATATTGGGTGGAGTATTTGACAACCTCTTTTCATCTCGTTTTTAACTTCTGATTCCCACATAGGAGACCAACAATCGAAGTAAGAACTTCTACTATCAATATAGACGGTGTTACATGAGACGTTAGAAGTTTTACGATCTGGAGACAAAGTGAGGGTTATAGGTTAAAATTTGCTTACATATTTTTTGTAAGAAGGCCAAATTTTCGGAGGGATGATTTTGCCTATTTTTGGGAATGACATTTGGTGTTCCCAATCTTATTATTTTTTGGTAGTGGTTGGTTCAAATAATTAAAATCACAAAAAAATGGTAAATAAAATTAATAAAATTAGAATATGAATTAAAGGTTCTACTAAGGTTATTGGGTAATAGAATATTAATGCATTTCAAAACGTAGCATGTTTTTTTTTTATATTTTGATATCTGAAAAATGAATGTCCATCATTTGTAGTGTCTGACAAAAGGTAAAGTAATCAAGTATGTAAAAAAAAAATATTCTAAAAAGTGTGAATGTAGCAATATATTTAGTAACTTAATTGATAGTTCGAAGATAAAGGATTTAGAAAAAAAAATATGAAAATTAAAAGATTGAATTGAATTATTTTATAATGAAACCAAGAAGAAAAAAAACATCCAAATTTTGCTCCTCCATTATGATTGTAATAATATTGCACACATACCTTATTTATACATAACTATCAGGTTACATGTAAACTGTCACAATTCAAGACCATTTTCTTACATACTTTGGAATTGGAAAATCCGGGTGGACAAACCCTCTCGATGAATAGTGTAGAAGATGTTCAGGGGAGGAGTTGACGTCAATTGGCGTTGTCTTGAGCTGCTATGACCTCATACTTTTTTAGTTTGAGTTTCATAGTTGGTTGACTGTGATTGTTGACCTCGATCTCCACCCGTAATGTCTGGTTCAATTGTAAAGTTCCTAAATTATAGAAAATAGACAAAATTCATTTGTGTAGCCAAAACTTTCACGTTTGTGACAATAATAGTCATTTTTGGCGAAATACCAAAAATAGCCAAATTTTTGAAAGTTCCATGACAAATATAGCCATTTCCGTTACATATTTTAACGACGTCAGTGACGCCGTTAGTTAAATTAACAGAACGCTTACCTGGCTGCCAACTCACCGACACATCATTGACAACTCACCAGCACTTGTCACATGAATGCCATGTCATATTTTATTTTAAAAATAAATAAAAAATTAATTTTTAGCAAAATATATTTTTTAAATTCTATGTTCTCCCCCACACTTCATCTTCTCCAAGAGGATATTACCACAAAAAAAAATCTCCAAGAGGAGATTGACGAATCCCCTGCTATGGTTTCCCCCAACTCTAAAATCTCCCACAATTGGATCTCCTAGCTTTGGGTTCTAATCACAGCCTCTTTACTTCTCCTTCGCCAGCAGAGAAAACCCTCCCCCACCTCACCACAGCCATCGCCGCCATCACAATCCCCAACTCTGTGCCGCTCCGTCGCCGTTTCTCTGTTCACAACCGGAGAAGAAGACAAAGGAGGAGGAGGCGGCGGACGATGAGAGATCAGTTCCATCCTCATCCACGAGCTTTATTTCATCCGGCTTGAACCGTACCGACTCCGATTGTGGCGCCATCAATTGATTCTTGAAACTTCCCCTACTTCGGAGCCATCGGAGATCACTATTTGGTCTCCAGATCTGTTGCGCCACTACGGCGGAGAGAGATCCTGTCACTCAGAGTAGATCTACCTTCCTTTTTCTCCACTTTCCCAAATCCATCGGAAAAGCAATCTCGCAGCCGCACTCGCAAGAGTGGAACCAAGTTCTAACGGTGGGGTTCCAAGATGACTCCCGACCCGCTGTCGGTGTTGTCGATATCGGCGTTTATGCAACCCGACCCTAGCCCAACACTTGATGGCGGATCCTAAGGAGACCATTGCCGAATCAATCGTTGTTAAACAATCTGCGACCTTGTGAGCTTTGAGGATGAGTGCCTAGGTTACCCCTTGCTTGGCATTTTTGTTGTGAGATTCGTCTTAGTTACACCATGGAAGACTCAACAAGGATGGCAGTGGTGGTGAGAGAGGGACAAGCACTAATGGAAGGTTTCAAAATGGTGGTGGTGGTATGGACGACGGAAGATGGGTAGGGATTGATGTGGAGGGTTTCAGAACTTTGATTTTTTATTTTTGTTTGGGTTATGGAGGGTTTCAATTGTGGTGATTGCAGAAGAGGAAGCTCTTTGGAGCTTTAGGGAAGTATTGATGAAGGGGAGGTGAGTAGGCGGTGGAGAGAAGATGTTTTTTTATTTAATTGGATTAAAATAAAAGGATAAAAGTTTGATTTTTTTCACCTAGCATTATTTTTTAATAAAATATGCCACGTCAGTCGTTGCTGTTAGTCCAGTCAGCACGTTAACTAACACCGTCAAACAATTGGACGGAATTGGCTATTTTTGGTATTTCGTCAAATGTGGCTATATTTGACCAAACCGTCAAAGTTTTGGCTACACAAGTGTATTTTGCCTTATCTTATTAGGGTTGCTTAATCAACTACAATGCAAATGGGTAAAGTTTGATTTTAATTAGAGGTGGGTTGGGTTTTTGGGATTTCCAGACATCTCCTTTCAAAACTACAGGTTGATACCTAAACTAAATAGTTCTTACCATTTAACACATAGATTTAATTCTTTTGAAAATAACTTCCAAAAAATGAAAATTACTTTACACTATCTAATTTTTTTGCTGTACAATTTACCGCATATACTTAAAGTTTACAAATAAATCCAATTGTATGTGGACTATCGGAAGAAAATGGACAAATTTATACTCAACTTTTACCCAATTAGAATACGAACACATATCCTACCCGAATTCATAGCACTATAATTTTCAACTGGTTTTACTTATTTGGGCAAAATTAACCATTTAATCAATTGTCATTTGTCATCTAATCACAACACTCAGAAATGTGACTTTTGATTAACCAAGTCAAATGTGGTCTAATGTGAAATAAATTCGGCTATGGTGTTTACGGAAAATATAGATTCTTCCGTAGCCTGATTCGGTTTCAATTTCAAAGCCACTCTCCGTAGAAAAACAATCGAAACCAGAAAAGCTCCAAACATGAGGAGTTGCTGCAAAACCCTAATCCAGAGTTCCCTCCCTTTCCCTTCCCTCCACAACTCGAAACCCTACTACCTCTCCAATTCCAGCCATGTCTTCCCTTTCCTCCCCCGCGCTCTCCCTAGCTTCTCCTTCAATTCCTCGACTCCCAGAGCCAAACTTCCCCACACCTTCCATATCCACTCTACCGCTTCTAATTCCAGTTCTTCGGCAGCACTAGGAGTAGCAATCTCTTCGGAATCGGCCGAAGATGAACCCCAAGACGACCCGAAGAGGGACACCGTGGAGCACTTGCTCACCAACCCGGACGACATTTCCAGGCTGATGAAGATGGAGAGGCGGCAGCAGGGCGACTGTGAGAAGCGATGGTTCCCTTACTTGGATGCGTTCAAATGTGGGAATGGCGCGCGCTTGAGTAGCGGCGATGTGTTGGAAGCAATGGCGCCGTATATGATGGAAGAGAGGAAAGAAAGGTTCAGGACCGCCGTGAAGAACCGGAGTTACTCGGTTTGTCTGGTGGTCGAAGGGTTGAACGATTTCGGGAACGTTTCTGCTACGTTTCGTTCTGCCGATGCGCTTGGGTTTCAGTCTGTTCATGTCATCAACCCGGATAGCTCGAAAAGGTGCTTCGTGGGTTGAGGTGAACCGGATTAAAAATCGTTTCTTTTTTCTTCCTCTGAAGTACATAAGAATTTTTGGATGTGTGAAAGTACGATCTTCTAGTGTTTTAGTAGAATCTCTTGTTCTGAGGGCTGGAATGAGGTATGGAATAGTGAATTGACAGAACAATTTCACCACCTCTGCCCACTTTGCAGGTATAGAGATAACCGACATGTTAGCATGGGAGCTGAGAAATGGTTGGACATTGAACTGTGGGACTCTACTGCAGAGTGCTTCCAAGTTCTCAAGTCTCGTGGTTATCGAATTGCTACAACGCATGTTGGAACCGATGCGGTAATAAATCGTTACCTCTGCATTTTGGGTTACTGTTCTCTTTTGCGAATGATTATGCGAATGCCATCCACTTGAGTTATTATATTTATGAATCACATTATGCAATTTTCAAGAACAGATTTTGAACTGTTGTTGGGATTCCTTTGCTATGACAGGTATCGATTTATGACATGGATTGGTCATGCCCTACTGCAATTGTTGTTGGCAACGAACATAGGTAAGTGTCTCTCAAGCATCGCCATTTCTAATCATAAGTTTTGATTTTAATTATTCCCTTTGGATGTGGAGAAAAGGTTGGAACTGCCAAAGATAGTTCTTGTGTCATGAGAGCCCCGGTTAATGCTTCTGATGTTGAGAAGGTGTTTTAGAACTAAGATGAGATTATGACTTCTCACTAGGATGCTTACCTAACAATAGCACCACCTATATTTGATATCCCCACAAACATCTAGATATTAGTTATCACTGTCTTTTGTTATTGTAGAACTAATTGCTGACAGAGGCTAGTGTTTGCAGGGGGATAAGTGATGAGGCACTCGGACTTTCAGATCTGCATTGCAGTATTCCAATGAATGGCATGGTCGACTCTTTCAATGTATCAGTTGCTGCTGGCATTCTCATGCACCATGCTGTTTGTGACAGAACTTCCCGTCTGGTACCTTTTTCTTATGGCTGGTAGTTTATGACAATCAATATTGGTGGAAGGAGTTACGACATACCCCTGATAATTTGTGAAATGCAGGGGCGACATGGAGATTTAACAGCAGAAGAAAGCAAGATACTGCTGGCTGAGTTCTCACTGCGTCATAGCAAGAGTGCGATAAGCATCGCACATGAATATGCAAAGAGGAGTAAGGCTTCCACGCCTGTGCCAAAGCTGTGATGGAGATTTATCAGAAAATGCTTCCACTACCAAATGTCTGCAGTCTGCAAATCCCCCTCCCGATGTAAACAGAGAAGAATTGGAGAAAAACATCTGCAATGAGCAATTTGCTCTGCTTTGATTGCATCGGAGGCAAAGGAAAAATCACCGGTCAGTTGGCGGTTGCTTGGGAACAACTGGAGGTGATGTGCTTAGCTAGTGCAGCCTCTCTAACTCTTTGTTTGGTTCTTCTTGACGAAGTAAAGAGAGAACGGAAGCAAGTTATACATAATGATAAGTGATATCTTAGAAGCTAGAATTCTTGTGACCCATGAATGTTCTACTTGTTACATGCCGCATCATTTTGATAGTGGAAAATCCGTTTCTCTTTAGAATCTCCTAGTATATATATCCCATTGAACAGAATTTTGTAGACAACCAGATGCATAAACTCTGCTTGACCAGAGTCTGCAATCGTTCATAAAACTCATTTTAAACTAACCAGTATAAATCAATTGCTTGATCTGCATTTGGTTTGATTTTTGATCCGGTTTCTTTAGAGAGCTGCCAATGACCTCAAAATCAAGGGCTCAAAAGAGGTTACCCCAAATTTGATATCTCCAAATTTAGCATCCATTTTCAGAGAAAATTTCAATAGAAATAAACATAAAAATCAAAATCAGATCATCTTTCTCCTATCCTCTTACAACTTTTTTTTTCAAATCTCTTTTCAGTTTTCCCTCCTTTGAAGGGAAAAGCCTTTTCTAGGGTTTTCCCAGATTAAAGATCTTGGGATTTTTTCTCTGAGTTTGCCCTAGAAATTGCTTTGGTTATTGATTAACATAACTTAGTCTACTATAGATTAATGGTCAATCCAGGTACGTACACATACATGCTTGCAATGCTCTTGTTTGGGTTTGTTCATGATAATAATTTGGTTCAAAATTATTGTATTGGGTAATTGTAATTTAGGATCATACCTTTGGTTTTCCTGTTCATAATGGTTTTTGGACTTTATGGGAGTTCTCCTTCCAGCGGCTAAATCGCCCGCCACTTCTATGAATTTGTAGAATACTTATGATATCATGAGCTTATTGATAATCTCAAAACGAGTTATCGATAAAAGGAAAAAAATAATTTATTTTAAATGAAAATCAATAATTCACATATAGCTTTGACTTACAAATGTGTTTTCTTTTTGTTCTCTTTCGTTAGGATAAGCCTGTCACCATTTGGCAAGGAGCTGATCACTGCGCTAGCCAAATGGGTTCGAAGATATCAAAGCAAGGGTCATTGAGAGTTGCAAATGCAACCTTGCAAAGTAGCACTCATGATTCATTGATTAGCTATCTCACCACAAGTAACATTTTACGTAACTTGGTGTCCAAGCATCGGCGCCGAATGCTCATCGCCGGTTACGATCTCGATATGTCGTATATCACGGATCGTGTACTCGCGATGTCGTTTCCAGCCGAACGTATGAGGGCCATGTATCGTAACCCACTTTGGCAAGTCAAATCGGTGTTGGATATGCGGCATGGTGGGCACTACAAGGTACTTTGATTCCCAACATCATCTTACCTTTGGGTAGAAATGTTGACATATTCAACGGATGCACACGTTGATTTTGTCTGATCTCATTGTCTATCCATAATGACATTTTTGTAAACACACCTATAAAATTATTTTCTAGATAAAAGCACACTTAGGTGAGTGATCAATCGATATTGAGTCGCGCATCTATCCAATCCTATCAATACCATCATTGGAGTTATGTTGGCCTTTGATAACTTTGTTATCCATACTTTGTACATTGCAGGTGTATAATTTATGCATTGAGCAATCGTATGATCCATCACACTTTCACTCTCGGGTCGAGACGTTCCCTATCGACGATAATCACGTCCCAGCTCTGCCCATGATCAAGCTGTTCTGTGAAAACGTTGATTCCTGGTTATCTCAAGATCCTAAGAACCTTGCTGTTATACATTGCATGGTAAATTTTGGTTGCTAGAACGATTTTCCCTTTCGTATTCTGTTCTGAAGACTGCGAATAAAGCGTGGATTCAATTGTCTTGGTCACTCATTTTTATAGGCTGGCAAAGGTCGAACTGGATTAATGGTCTGTGTTTACCTAGTCTATTGCGGCATGACAGCAGAAGATGCTCTCCAGTTGTATGCGAGTAAAAGGACTACCAACAATCAAGGTGTAAGTTTTAAGAACAGAGAAGATTAATTCGACCATTGAACTTTCTTTATGTGACGAATTCGATACATAAACTTTATATCGAGTCAAAACCCAGAATTAGCAGGGTTACCAAAGTTCTTCTGTGTTTCCAATTGTTGCAGGTGTCTATACCAAGCCAACGACGTTATGTTCAGTACTGGGCTAGTGCACTTACTTTCCCTAGGGGAATCAACAATGGCCCTCCGGACGTGAATTTGCCTCCATCATGTAGCAGAGAACTGCGACGAATCCGGCTCTACGACATTGTTAACACAGACTCTGTCTTCTTTGTGGTCTCAGAGTTGCAGGAGGTAAGTAATTCCCAGTTCTGAAACTTGTTTCTCGCAGGCTGAATCTCGAGAGTCGTTACGTTGTGTTGATCTCATTTAGAAATCCGCAGATTCCTGGTCAGTTGTATCGTCCATCGGTAGAGGTTGCCAAAGGTAGTTGTAGGCAAGTTAGACAAGGATATCATAGGACTTATAGTCCGAGGTATTACATTTCTTTTGTGGAAGATGATGAAGATGGGAAGACATCAGATTCAGATCATCAGGAACCTCATGTTGTTGTCCAGATGGATACTGAGAGTTCCATCATCTACCAAAAGACATGTCTTGATCATTACTTTGAGAAGCCAGTAGAGGTACGTAGCAAAAATTTCTTGAACCAAAGTATTGATGATATGAGCCAAATCAAAGAACTTATTAGAGATTTTTCCTATTGTATATGAACTCATGTCCAACATACAGTTAAGTGGAGATGTACGAATTATATTCTACGAGAAGATGATAGGAGGAAGGCTCTTCTACGTCTGCTTCAACACATCTTTCATAAAGAACAGCTTGTTACAAGTACTACTGATAGAGAATCCTATTTCCCTCTTCTGTTATATCAAATTCAAGATTCTGTGAAATACAATAGTAATTATTTTGTCTTGTGATGTTGTTGTAGTTTACACCTGGAGATCTTGATAAACTTGGGAAGAGAGGCAGGTCAATGTGTGGCCCTTCATTTTGCTTGGAGCTTACGTTTGGCCCTGCAAACTCAAAGTGTTCAGAGTTGCCCTTTGTTAGCAATGTTGATTTTAGTGATGGACTAGAAGAAATGTGATCAAGAACTGAGAAGAGCAATGTGATCCTCCTTGTAATGTGGTTTTCGCCCTTGTAAAAGAACATTAATATGTATCACAACTTCTTGTTGTTGCATAGCCATAGTTTATATATCCATACTCAAAACTGCAATGAGCATTGAGATATGAGGAAAATCATTTATCTTTACTTCAGAAGATATAGAAGAAAAAGATTAATATTTGGAGAAATTCATTTCTTCAGTATTTGATCGGGCATTTTTCATCTACATGAGAGGTCATATCTTATGCCTATATAAAGTAATTGCTTTGTATTCGGAAACACATTTATCCTCCTTTACACATTAATCTTTGGTTGTATGAGTGATTTCAATTGCAGACTTTGGGTGTATGGAAAATGAGACGGGGCATCAAAATATCAAATGACATATTTACAAAATGAATTCAATGATTCATTATTTTCTTACAAAGATGAAAAGAAGTCGACCAAATGAAAGGGTCGATCTTTTCTTGATGAGGGGGGTGACGACAGAGATGAAATCAAAAAAGTTCTAGAAGTTCTTGTACTAGAGAGACTAACTAGGTGACTAAGACTAGATTCACCAACCAAGTATTTTTCTTTTCATATTCACTTTCTAAATAATTTCATCAAATTTAAGTTTTAGTAAAAAACAAGCATACATTTACACATTATTCTCAACTTTCATTACAAATCATTAATCACTCTAAAACTTACAAATTAATTATATCTAAAATTTTATCTCGCAAAAAAATTTCACTAGCCAGCTTTGTCCTTTAAGAAAAAAAATATTCTTGAAGTTGCATTCTTGATAATTATTTCGCACATTTCATTCACAATTTATCATTAAACTCACTATTCACCATCTCATTAATTTTTTTTATAGTAACAAATAATTCATTTTCCATTAACTTTATAAGATCATCTTTGTTTTTTTACCATGTTTATCATGTACAGAAAACACATACCAAATCTAGATAATAAATAAAAGCCGAATGATGAAAACTGTTGCTCCATTTCAAATTTCCTGCAACGAGAGTGATTATAGGAAGGGCATTTTGGTCTTCACAATTGCTTATTTTCTTATTTATTTATTCATAAAAAAGGCATGCACTGGGATTTGAACCTTGGTCTCTTTAAAGGAAAGCAAGGATCATAACCAATCACACTAAGTATATTTGTTGTATCTATTTAAATTCAAACATACACGAACCTAAATTATGAAAATCATATGACTTTTTTAACGATTAGTTGGCCACTGAATCTCCCGTAAGTACTTATTTGGTGTTTTAATACTTTGATTATTTTAGTTGTAGTTTAATACTTAATTTAAATTTCTATCTATTTTATAAATATACAATAACCCTAAAATTGCAGCCCAAATATCACTGGTTCGGATATTGCATATCGAATTACAATATTAAACATGTAGAAGCAATATCGACTTCTTAAATTAATATTATTTTTCAGAATTACTATGGAGAAATTATATCTTTGTGCAAACTATATGAGACTGGTTCTTTTAATATTTTAGTCGGGATAACCGCTACATTTTAAACTTCTTCATAATCTGGCATGATTGGATCCAATGATTATTATACAAGATTGTGTTTAATAGGGTGGCTCATTTCACCACTTTTTGGCGTGTTAATGAATTTGTAGGACAATGACAGGTCTACATCTACACTCATCACAATCTACACATCATATAAATGTGAAATGAGAAAAGAGGGATTCCATTTCAAATTTGATGCATACAGAGCAATTTTTTAGGGGTAAATTTAGAAGATGCCAGTGCGGTCGGTCTGTTGAGCACGAAAGTAAAAATATGTTTTCATTTAAACGGGCCCAAACTGTTATTTGGCCCACTAATCGTGCACCCATAGCCAATGCAGTCAAATTCGGGATTTTGATCATAAAATCGTAGGATTTTAGGATTTTACTTAGGGATTCCGATCTTGATTTTACTATAAAATCGGTGGACCTTAAAATCGTTTAAAATCGGGACTAAAATTGTTAAAATCGTAAAATAGTATCGAAATCGGGATTTGATCGTAAGAGAACAAAATAGGTGGTTTGAGCCAATTTAAAATAAGTATAACTGTTTCAGCGGAAAGGGCAATGGAATCTTCTCAGATATTTTTCTATTAGAAAAATATTCAAAAATAATAAAAATAACCAAATTAGGGTTCGGTTAATCTCTTTCCCTTCACCCCATTTAACTTATTGGTAAAACACCTGTCCTAATATTGGAAGTATGTAAGAACTAACATCATTATTAACTAATTAATTTATTAATGAATATATTTGTACCAACCCACTAACATTACTTATTTTATTGGAGTTCAATTATTTTTAGTTTTAAATCATACTTAGTAGACGATGTCGAAATATTACTTTGAGTTAAACAACCTAGACATAACATGAAAATAAGAGCCAAACTCATAAAATATATCTCTTCATCATGAATTATTTTGAGTTACACATTAAATAACAATTAAAATAGTAATTTTGGAACATTAATCTTGAGAATTATCTTATGGAAAAAAAATCTTCTGAATTATCATTTTAAATGCTATGTGTCTTTGTGATATTAATAATTTACCTTATTAATATTCTTATATGCTATGTTCTATATGGTACTTAAAATCCTACGATTTTACGATTCGATTATACGATTTTGATTTTACCCATCGCAGCCTCTCCAAATCTTCCTATTCTACTCGCCGGGTCATCTCCTCCACTACAAAATATCTCCTCATGTACTCAAAGTTCTCACTGAAACCTAATATCTACAACTTAGGCGCAGAGGGAGCAACCGATGGATTGTAGCGACCCCCACTATTTTGATAGCTAATCAAGAAGAGCGCGTTTGTTTAGTTGTATGGTGATTCACTTAATTAACAATTTTAATTCCGTTGACAGCCTCCTCTCCGCAATTGTATTGTGTTCACGAAGATCTGAAGGCGCAAGTGCAACAGGTCCAGGGGTAAACAATATGTATAAAGCGTTGGCCAAATTGAATTGAGTCATTCTACTTGGAATATGAAGATTTTTTCTTAATTGCTTTGGTTCGTGATGCAACTATGTTATGTTTGAAGGTAGACCAACACAAACAACAGCACAGCTCCAGGGCTATTCTGCACATTAGGTAGTTGGGGCATTAATTGATAATTATTTGGGATTATTCCTACAAGTACATAATTTGGAACGTGCCTTTATATTGCATTGATTAATAGTTGTTTGAGATTTTTCAAATGAGTGATTTGACATGTTAAACTCTCTTATTTTTGAAAATGGAGTCTTCGAAGTGGAATATGAAGATTTTGGATTAAGCTTGGTTTCGTAACGCCCTTATGGGTGTTTATTCTCTAAAATGCAGCTGTCTTTCAAAGTGCCCGTTGCAAATGGCAAGTCAGGATACAACGATGGTACCGGTACACATTTATATCATTAGTAGGTAGCAGATTGTGTCCATTCTGTGTGGGCTTTTTCTTTGTTTGACTTTTTCTCGCCTTTTTTCTTATCTCTTTTTCTATTTTTGGTTTTTGTGTGCTACCTTCAGTTGCTACGTCTTCATTTGTGAGCCATCTATACTTTTCTTAATCAGTGCCTAAAAATCATATATACTCGATTGCATAGTAGTTACTAATAGATACATTTATACCAATAGAGAGATTTTAAGTTTTATCAGTTGTTAGTTTTAATATTTACTTACATTGGTTGTTTATGTAGTTTTCTTTGTAATATTTCTCATTATACAACTAATTACTATGGCTACGTAGTTGTATAAGTGGGGGTTGGACATGATAGTTCTTAGAAGCATCAATACTTGAAAGTTATTATAATGACCAAATTCTAAAGTTATGGTTTGCCTTCAACTTGCTTGGAGCATTTCAATTATGCATCAATTGTTCTCTCCGTGTAGTTAACTCTCAGACAAATCGAAAATCTTGCTGATATGTGCTTGATTGTAGTTAAATTTAGGGTTCTACTGCATTGTTGCTTTACTCTTTTTTCGTGGTTGAGTCTGCTTCAAAAAATTTAGTTTGATTTTAGAAAATTTTGCTTCTGCAGTCCTGTCTTGCCACCAACGCGTTCAATAGATGGACACGGGAGAGGCGAAGGCTATTTTTGTGTTGTTGTTGCTGGTTTAGGGATCGGTTTGTGAAGAAGAGGGAGAAGAGAGGGGGAAAGGGAAATGCAGGAGAGGGGGATAACTCTTTTCTCCGACAAAAATGGAGTGAAGAAAGGAATTATGATCAGTAAGAATATGGTTATCTTACATAACGGTCTCTATTCTGTTTGAATTGAGCTTGAGAGGCAGTGATAAGGACGAGCTGCAACCAATTCATAGTGAGAAGAGAGCTATGAACTGTGATCATGTCTTATTTCAAGTTAGAAGGTAGTTTCAGTATAAGGATTATTTAATTTGACAAGTTGTTTCGTCCATGATTCTTGGTAGTTTCAGTGCCATTCTAGCCAATGTTTAGTCTGTAATTTTTGAGAATTGATGTGCGAGTAATGACTTTCACTTAGCTTCAACTATTATGTGTGTATTTATTGGCATGTGATAGAATTCTCTTTTCCTTTTCATTGAATTCATTTTCATACTCTAATTGTATTATTTGTACATAGGCAAATCATGCTCGAGATGGCAACTCGCTGATATGGCTGATGCAAGGAATGAAGCCATCATTAGAATTCAGACCGACAACGGGGAGGGATGCCCAGGACTAATTCAATGATGATTGATGATGGTATAATAAAAACTGCAGTCTGCATCAGCACCAATTTCTAGGCCTAAGTAAAGGTATTCAACCCAGAACTCTGCTTAGCGCTAAAAATTGCCCTCACCCAACCTTGATCCTGTTTGACCCACTTCTGAAGAGTCAAGATATATGACTAATCCTCCCCGTTCGTATTTTCTTATTGACTCTTTCTGACCCTGTAGGTTGGGGCGGGTCGGGAAGAATTGGATTAGTGGGTCGGTCCTAATCAAGTGGAATCCCAATCCCTTCACTCTCACTTGCTTTCTCTCCCATTCCACAAGTAGGTAACATACAGTAATCCGGCCAACGGGCCGGGTAATAAGCTAGTCTTTTTATAAGATCAGAAGATTCTATCTTTCATTTTGGAGTGGCAAAAAATTTAACAAATTAAGAAATCAAACACATTCCCACTTCTCCTCGTATCGTAGGAGTCTCCTAAAACATTAGATAAAGCTCAGTCTAGCGATCCGTTTGACAAATGGTAACAGCTTGTTTGGATATAATTCTGTTGGAAAATGAATTCCATTTCTTGTGAGAATCTCAATTCAAGTGAGAATTCATTTTAAAATTTTATGTTTGGAACAAATCCAAAAGTTTGGGAAATGATTTCATCTTTTTATGTTTGGAAAAAATGGAAATGATTTCTTACAAGTGCTTTTACAATAATATCCTTGGTATTAGTAATTTCAAATCCAAAAGTAGTAAGGGCTTTCTTGTAAAGGTGAGTCAAAATTAATGTGGGGTCCACTAATTCCATCACCCCCTCCACCAATTCCGACCACTTTTGGTAGGAATTAGAATTTCCTACTTTTTGCCTTTTGGAATTCCATTTCCTTTTTACTTTTTACTTCCAAACATGAGAATCATGGAAAGTTTGGGAATTGGAATTCCATTTCCTCAAAATCTAGCCTTTCCAAACTGGCTGTAATGGAATAGAAGAATCCCCCTTCCCTTCCTTCGCCGGCTTCCATTTCTTCTACCCATTTCACTCTCCTCCATTCTCCGACCTTTGCAAGCAAATATGCTAACTCCCACCATGACTAAAGCCTAATCATTTCTCTCTCCATCCATCCCTTGTTCGACCACTCTTTCTCTTTCGTGCTGCTTACGCCCATCAGTTATGGCGACGCCGAAACCCCAGAGGTCCCCCGAAGAAATTGAGGACATAATCCTCCGCAAAATCCTTCTAGTCACGCTCGCTCCTCCTGCCCATGGCGCCGATCCAAGAATCATTTACTTGGAGATGACCGCTGCCGAGATCCTCAGCGAAGGTAAAGACTTGAGGCTTAATCGCGATGTCGTAGAAAGGGTACTAATTGATCGCTTGTCCGGCGAGTTCCCTGACGCCGAAGCTCCGTTTGCTTACCTACTCGGATGCTATCGCCGGGCTGTTGATGAACTGAAGAAGGTCGCCAATATGAAGGATAAAACCGTCAAATCTCTGGTGGAGGCTTCTATCAAGCAGGCTAAGAAGCTCTTTGTTAATTATGTTAGAATTCATTTGGGAAATCCGGAGTTGTTTCCTTCGAGTTCACCATCTCTCGCTGGTAAATCCACTATTTGCAGCCTCACGCCTTTGATTTTTGGAGCGGTTGATAGAAGTGGGTTTGGCGGTGGTGGAGGGAGTCAGCCACCGCCTCCTGGGTTTCTTGATGAGTTGTTTTCAGAGGCTGATTTTGATAGCTTGGACCCTATATTCAAAGGGCTTTATGAGGATTTGAGAGGTCATGTCATAAAGTTATCAGCTTTGGGGAACTTTCAGCAGCCATTGGCTGCACTGTTGTATTTAGTTAAGTTGCCGGCTGGAGCTAAGTCGCTAGTGAATCATCCTTGGTGGATTCCAAAAGGGGCTTACTTGAATGGAAGAGTGATTGAAATGACTAGTATACTTGGACCCTTTTTCCATGTCAGTGCGTTGCCTGATCATACCATATTCAAGAGCGAGCCTGATGTTGGGTGAGTTAGAAACTAGTGGAATTTGGTTCTTTTGTTCAACATGCTTCGCCGTGTCTGGTTTTATTGATAAGTCACCTGAAATTTTCTACAGACAGCATTGCTTCTCGGAAGCATCAACTCGTAGGCCTGCTGACTTATTGTCTTCATTTACTACTATCAAGACAGTTATGAATAACTTATATGAGGGTCTCTCCGAAGTTCTTCTTACTCTACTTAAGCATGCCGACATTCGTGAGCATGTCTTGCAGTATCTCGCAGAGGTGATCAACAGAAATGCCTCCAGAGCACATATCCAGGTAGGCGGTGGTCTGAAATGATCATTCAAGAATCTCTTGGTCATTACATCATATATAAACTAAGTGAGGGTTTCTCGTTGTGGTTTTTTCTGTCTGGGAAAGGGATGGAGTTAACATCTTTTTTTACATATGTCAGCATGAAGTTGCCATACTATGGCTTTTGTATCATCATACTTGATGTTATCTGTTTTGTTCAGGTTGATCCCATATCTTGTGCAAGCTCGGGCATGTTTGTCAGTCTCAGCGCTGTTATGCTTCGACTCTGTGAACCCTTTTTAGATCCACATTGCTCAAAGATTGATAAAATTGATCCAGGATATGTGTTCTACTGTAACCGATTGGACTTAAGGTTGGATCCTTTGCACTTCTTTATTGTTAGCAGGTTTTGCTACTAGTTAGTTCAATATCTTTAATTTCCTTTTTTTTTTTATGTTTGGTACCGTCTTAATCAGAGGGTTAACAGCCTTACATGCATCATCAGAAGAAGTTGCAGAGTGGATTAAAAATGATAGTTCTGGGAAAGCTGATATAAATTCTGGATCTGGTGATATAGAAAACCGCGTGGTCCAATCACAGGGAGCCAGTAGTTCTGGTTCCAAGCCTGCATCAACTAGTGGTAAGGCTTCATACGCATTTATAAGTGAATGCTTCTTTATGACGGCAAGGGTGCTCAACTTGGGCATGCTAAAAGCATTTTCCGACTTTAAGCACTTGGTTCAGGTAATACATTCATTTCTTTTGATAATCCTAATAATTTCCACAAGACTGCTCAAAATAATGTAGCTATTGATTGATTATTACACTTTTCTTGGCCACTCAAGGACATTTCAAGATCTGAGGACACTCTATCGACATTAAAAGCATTGCAAGAACAGTCACCTTCACCGCAAATGCAAATGGATATTGCTCGCCTCGAGAAGGAATTAGAATTATATTCTCAGGAAAAACTTTGCTATGAGGCACAATTACTGAGGGTACATGGTCTTTTCTGCTGTTGCTTTTGCTCTTTTCTCTCTCTATCCAACTGCCTGTTTAGATGTATGGGCATTTGATCAGTTGTTGAGCATGATGAATTCCCGAATGGTAAAGCTAAAGTCTCAATCTTTTCATTGGGCTTTAGAATAATTTAGATAAAGTTCGTCATTTTTCTTGAGATTCATTGCTTTTATCCATTATCGTCTTCCCTGTCTTCTTTCCTTTCATATCTAGTCCCAGGCTAGTGTTTCTCTTTTGTAACACCTTGTAGATTGCATTTTCTAGCTTGAACTTTGCTGGATTTATTATTATCCTCGCGCTCCTAAGCCTAAGCTATTGTTTGAAGGACCCTACTCTTATTAAGCAAGGGCTCTCGTTCTACCGATTGATGGTGGTTTGGTTGGTCAGCCTGGTTGGTGGATTTAAAATGCCTCTTTCATCTACTTGCCCCATGGAATTTTCATCGATGCCTGAGCATTTTGCGGAAGATGCGATGGAGTTACTTATATTTGCTTCTCGAGTCCCAAAAGCTTTAGATGGAGTCATTCTGGTATAGTTGACTTCACAAAGGCTTTTTTATGATGTTTGCTTTCCTTGTTGAATAAAATATTGCATCTGTAACTGTTCTCATCTCTTTCCTTCATTGGGATTGCTGGCAGGATGATTTTATGAACTTCATAATCATGTTTATGGGAAGTCCAACACACATTAGGAACCCGTATCTCAGAGCAAAGATGGTTGAAGTGTTGAACTGCTGGATGCCCCGTGGGAGGTGATTATTGGTGTTTTAGATATCGGGTTCTCCTCTTAAATGTGAATTGTAGTAAATAACTTGTGCTGTTGTATCTGCAGTGGTTCATCTGCTACAACTAGTCTGTTTGAGGGACACCAATTAGCTCTCAAGTATCTCGTGAGGAATCTATTGAAGCTTTATGTTGACATTGAGTTCACTGGTTCGCACACTCAGGTTATGTCTGAAAACTATTTCTGAATGTGAAAATTTTCATTTGTGTTTTAAGCAGTTAATGATTGTTTGTTTTTATAGTAGACATGAGTTTTCTAGTTTTGTCTTTGCTAAATGGCTTTGTTTTTCAGTGTCCTTGTTCATTGTTGGAAGCAAGCACTTACTGCATTCATGAACTAGAATAGATGTGGTAGTACTTTGTGTACTGGTGCATGGTGTGAAATTATAGTTGGTATCGTAGCTTCTTTGTCTGTTTGTTTGTATGTGCTATGTAACTCGTTAATGATGGCTCTTCCCGTGTTTTGGCTTCTGCAGTTCTATGACAAGTTCAATATCCGACATAATATTGCTGAGCTCCTAGAGTATCTGTGGCAGGTCCCTAGTCATCGTAACGCCTGGAGACAGGTAGAATACCGAGTATAGACCATTTAGTTTTCGATATCCTTTGATTATTTAAAGTGTCAAACTCGAATTTCTATCACCATTTGCAGATAGCAAAGGAAGAGGAAAAGGGAGTTTACTTGAATTTCTTGAACTTCTTGATCAATGATAGTATATATCTTTTGGATGAAAGTCTGAACAAGATTCTTGAACTGAAAGAACTGGAAGCTGAAATGTCGAACACGGTGGAATGGGAACGGAGACCAGCTCAGGAGAGGCAGGAAAGAGCCCGGCTGTTTCACTCCCAAGAGAATGTCGGTGTCTTTCTGACTTAAAATTGTCACATATATGAGAGAGTTTTTTCTCAGATGGATATCTCTATCTTTGTGCAGATCATCCGGATTGATATGAAGCTGGCAAACGAGGATGTGAGTATGCTGGCCTTCACATCTGAGCAGATTACAGTACCTTTCTTACTCCCTGAGATGGTAAGTTCTTATTTGGATCAACTTCATTATCTCTTACAACTTGTAACTCGAATGTTACTTGTAGTTCAGAACTTGATTTAATATTCTGCAAAATCCAGTTACAGACCTTTCCAACTTCTTTTATCTATTAAAATGACACGATTCTCTTGCATGACGCCAGAGTATCGATGTTTGAAAGTTCTCATGTTTGAAATCCTTGTCATCCTTAATAGTAGTAGTTAGTTACTTAGTTGTGAGTTACCATGGATTTTGCAAACTTGTAAATCAGTAGGGTTTTCTAGCAACTCAAATTAGTGGGATGAGATTATTTTTTCTTGTACCATAAGATCTTATTCTTAACGTGCACTATTTGCAGGTGGAACGAGTGGCCAGCATGCTGAATTACTTCTTATTACAACTTGTGGGTCCACAGAGAAAATCTCTTACTCTGAAAGACCCTGAGAAGTATGAATTTCGTCCAAAACAGCTCCTGAAGCAGGTTAGCTTAAATATGGATTTTGTGAATATTGCATATGTTGTAATCTGATAATGGCCTTACATTCGTGGTTTTCTTGTTTGAAAGATTGTCCAAATATACGTTCATCTAGCTAGAGGTGATAAAGAAAACATATTCCCAACTGCCATTTCAAAGGATGGAAGGTCATACAATGAACAGGTAAAATAGGGCATGCATGCAGTTCCATTTCAATGGGAATGGCAAAATTGAGTTGCTTTATTCTGTTCTATTGATGGGTGAAGGAACAATCTTAGGTTATATTTACTGCTGCAGTTATTTAGTGCTGCTGCTGATGTTCTTCGAAGAATTGGTGAAGATGGGAGAATCATACATGAGTTTGTTGAACTTGGTGCAAAAGCAAAAGTTGCTGCCATCGAGGAAATGGACAGTGAAGCTGCTCTTGGGGAGGTACCGGACGAGTTCCTTGACCCCATCCAGGTAATTTTAGGTTAAAACGTTTCATAATCCATTAATCTGTATGAAGGCTTAGTGCAGGAATTTTATGCCTGAAAAATTGCATCCCTTTCACAGTACACTCTGATGAAAGACCCAGTTATACTACCTTCTTCAAGAATTACCGTGGACAGGCCTGTCATCCAAAGACATCTCCTTAGTGACAGCGTAATTCTTCTACTTCCTTGCCTCTCAAGTAAGTTCAAACAATATAGTCTGATCATTCTCTGATTTCGGGGGTTCTTGGTATTTGGGTTGTAAATGCAGACGGACCCCTTCAACCGTTCGCATCTTACATCTGATATGCTGATACCGGACGTGGAGTTGAAGGCAAGAATCGAAGAGTTCATCAGATCTCAACACCTTAAGCGGCATAGTAGTGACGACTTCAGCATGCAGAGCAGCAAAGCATCCATGCAAACCACTGCCGGGGACATGTTGATTGATTGATTGATAGGAACTAGGAAGGAAGGACAATTCGTTCAGGGTAAACTTCTATTGAATGCTTCAAAATCAGGATTTTCTCCTTCACTTTTGTAACTATAAATCTTCCAAGTTCCTCAATCCCATTGCACATAAGTTTATTGAGGCCTCTTGTAGAAGTTTGCCTACATTACATTAATGCCATGTTTACTTCCCATTTCGTTTTCTGTTTTTTGTTTAAAAAATGAAAATCAAGAAACAAATGATAAAAAACGTGTTCACCTGCCATTTCGTTTTCGTTGGAAAAAATCATTTGTTACAAATGAGAAAGCTTTAGGAAAACAATAAATACTTGAAAACAAGGGTTCGGGTATCCCGTTTAGTTTTTTGAGGCCTCTTGTAGAAGTTTCAACTTTGCCTACCATTACATTACATTTAGTGTTTGCCTGTCATGGTATCAAGAACCCTACTCCTAAAAGAACCAACTAATTTATTTTCTTTATTCATGGAGGTATCAATGAGAATACCCTCCAACATGATCATATAACATGAACATACTGGAGGATATGCTTTGTTCATCATCTGATGACAAATGACAACAAATGAACAAACACAAGAAAAAAAGAGCAAGATTCTCCCAAAAACATTGCACTCTAATTCGCCCTTCTATCCGGCTTCATTCATTCAAGGTGGTCATGTGGTCGAATCGACATGAACATGGCAGCATACCTCAACAACTTATTTTCCACATCCCCACCACTCTCCACCACAGGGTTCATCGGACCACCACCAGCACAACCTCTAGTCCTCCGCCTGTACCGCCGCCACGCAAACTGAATGTTCACGGCCGCCCACGTCCGCCAGTTCGAAGAGTAATACCTCGCCGTCCTCTTCAGCCTCTCGTTCGCGAACTTGTACCGGAAATGATCCGTAATGTACTTCAAGTGGTTGGCGTCGAGAGCAAATGCCTCCGCGGCTTCTATGCACACGAACGTCGCCGACGAAGCTGGAAGCCGCTCGTTGAATGGCCGGCGTAGGCACCATGACAAAAGTTCGTCGCCGAGGAAGCCTCCAGCTTCGAGCACGTTTGTTGCTACCACTCCTTTGCTTAGCCTTTGTGAGCTTTTTATCTTCCCACGGACTAAAAACACCATTCTTGGTACTGGATCCCCTTCTCTAATTATCTGTTTCCACAAAATAACATAACGTCAATTTACAAGTACACGAAATTAAGTACAATTAGATGGAAATATTAAACGGATTACCTTTTCATCCTTGGAAAACACAATGGGCTTGACTCTGTCACATATGTTGTCGAGAATCAAATCGTCCAAGTTATGAAACAACGGCACCTGGATCACAGCTCAAAACAATCAATCAAGTTTCATTGTTATTCATGGTGCCAAATCAAACGAACTAAAACTAGATCAAAAATTGATTGATTTGCCAGACTCAATTTAGTCTCTACCTTCTTGATGAGGTCTAGGCAGAGGTATCGTTTGATGTCTCGCCGTAGCCCTTCGGGCAAGTCTTTGATCATTTCCATCTCATCCTCGCCTCCCATGGTCGTCCACCTCTGGCGCTCGTAGTGCCGAACTCTCTGCCTCAAGCGGGAAGGCAGCTGTCTTCTTCTCATCCACCACTCCATGTCTCTGCACCTCAGCTGCATCTTTCTCTTCGTCGCCATCACCGCGTGCAAGAACACCTGCAAACATCCCCATACACACTCAGAAATCTTGATACTCCAGCAATGTAGATGGAAATCCATTCATGTTTGTAAAAATACACACACCTGAATGTTACCAATCAACAAAGTGAAGAGCATCAAGCCACTCAGTACTAGGCATATGCTGAACATCACTTCCAACCAGTTACTAGTTGGTTCAAGATCATTCCCAAATGTGCTGCAATATTCATGCACAAATCCCATCAGTCAATCAAACTAATCTCAACACGACTATGTCATACATTTGCGGAGCTAGGTTGAAGTCAGGAGGGACTGCGACCCCCCACCTTTGAAATGTAGGTAAAATTATATGTAAAATTCGTAACAAATTAAGGATACGGAGTAGTTGGAACCCTCTCTCCAGTTACCACAGTTCAACCCATCCCCTCTCATTCAGATTTCTGGCTCAATGGAGACATGACTAGCTAGGTAATCAATCTTACTTACCTGAGGGTCATTAAGCCCCAGAAAATGGGGTAAAGAATCTTGACAGCCAAAGAATCACTGGAAATCACAGGGAGAGCCCACTTGTAGATCCCATACTTGAAACTGCCATCCATGTCCAAGCACATTGGAGTCCTATGAGTAGTAGTGGAGTTATTATAACCACCACAAGAGCCGCTGCCGGCAGCCAATGCATCAGGCAGGACAAGGCGGAAACAGAGCTCTTCGGAGCAAGACAAGGAGAGGTCGCAGTTGGAGGACAAGTTGCACTGCTGCTTTATGCAGGAGGCGGCGCGCTGGATGGCGAGCACGTACCAGCATCCGCCGGCGACGTGGGAGGCGATGAAGTAGGCGATGAGGTTGAGGCCGAAACCCCACCAGATGGTGCCGAAGATGTAGCCGGTGACCTTCTGCATTCTCCTCATCAGGGTGAGGCTGTGGTACACTTTGGGCAGGAATTGGAACAGGAAGATTAAGAGCATGATTGTCATTATCAGCTTGATTTGCTCGTCTCTGATCAATCTTGGCACCACCAGCCAAAACACAGCCTGTAGTATTGGGAAATAGGAACTGGTGGGGGTGAGTTTAAAACAAAATGGCATTCATTCAAGGATCTATAGAATATTTGGTATCATTGGAAATTATAGTGACACTATTGTTCTGGTCTCAGTCCATGCGCATTAACACTAGCAATATACATATTCGTAGGTCAATAAGAGAGCGATCGAACTGTCTGAGTCTAATAGCTTATTTCCCATCAGTATATATTTAGGTCAAATCTCGATTTAATATTCCATGCTTTACAATGTCCTACAGACTATAACATTTAAACAAATGTATTTTGTGATAAACTTATGGATATTTCTTAGTTCCAACCTTGGTTAGACATAGAAGCTCAAATCAGTCACATGTCAGTTTTCTATTAGTAAGAAAATTTTCATGTTTATATTTTTTAATTCTTGATTTATTTAGCCTAATTAAGAACATTAAATATTAATTAAAAAGGAAGGTGAATCCACCAAAAACAAATTGACACGTGACTGGTAAAAGTTTCTGCGTCTAACAAAGATTGAAGCCAAAAAATTTCCATAACTTACTACTTGAGCAAATACATTATAAGACCGGGAGCTTCGAGCTTTTATCGTTGGGTGATTACATATCTTACCACTTAAGTCACTCTTACTGTCACTGTTTTTGCAGATTTAGATTGATATTATAATATTGTTATAGACCACACTATCTTTTGATGATATTCAACGACAAAGTAGAAAAGTAGGATCGTGCGTAGTTGGCAAAAGAAAAGGACAAGCTGGAGAAGATGATAGAGTTGCTCCATGACGTGCTCGCCGTTTATGGACAACTTTTAGTGACCGGATCTGATCACTTTATTCATTGTTGTTAGATAGACCTACCGATCGCATAAGGAACAAAATTTTATAAAACACGGTGGTCTGGTCTCTGCTACGGCTATGCGTCATCCTTTTACAAAACAACCACATTTAATATATAGTAGTTATTCCCTCAGTACTTGGAGAACAAAATAAAGAGGTAGTTTGATCGCCTCCCTAATATACAAGACGAAGAACCCTATAAAACTATGATTGAGCACCGTCCAAATGGTCACCACAAATAAACAAACTATTTATGTGCAACTAATGTACACGTGTATCATAAGACACAAAGCAAACAATAAGAAAGAAAAATGTGTATGACAATTTTGATATGATTAATGTAATGGGATGGTTTAATTTGTATTAATAGATGTTAAATTTTTAGTCGATTGATCTAGTTTATAAAGGTATTCATCTAGTGGCGTAGCCAGAGTTTGGATGGATTGGGGTCTTTAAAAATTTCGAATTGATTAAGGTCCTTACATGAGATAGTATCGACGAAAGTATTGGGTCCTATATTTCAAGAATCATACTAAAACGCATGCACTAAGTGGGATCATCCTAGTACCCCTCTCCTCAAACTCTCCCTCCGCCACTGTATTCATTTTTTAATATCAATGATGTCTCTTATATGAGGGTTTGTCCATGAGAATATAGGATCTATGTTGATCAATAAATCTACCCAAATATCTCACTGTTTAACATTCATTTGTTTTTCTCGAATCACATATCAGAATATGTTGATCAATAAATCTACCCAAATAGCTTGTTTTTCGACATGTTATATACGGATATCAAGATGCCTATCCTATGTCTCGCATGTTCAGAGAAATGAAAAATAACCATTGATTATCAGTATTTTTGTGCTACTAATATTAATATTATCAAACCACAGATTCATCTGGTCCTAGCTAGTAACCGACAGCAGTAGGTGTACCGAACAATAATACCCACACCACAGATACAATCATCACTGTAAACTCTCTCACGCCATAATCATCCGCAAACTACAATTCTCTCGCCCGCATCCACGCATCACATGGGTGATGGGTAATACGGTTGTCCTCTTGCGGCCGTATGATGCGGGCCAGGCGCCTCATCGGCCGCACAACCACAACAACAACAACAACACGCAACATAACACGTCCGGAAATCACCAGAACGAAAATTACAGCAAAAACCCCAAAAGAAGGTGTGGGGCCTGTACTCTGTACGTACCTGGGGAACGGGGAGGATGACGAAGGCGTCGAACCAGAACCCCTTCAGCGACCGGAGGTAGTGGGCCGCGATGGCTTGCGGGTCCCACACCAGCTTCCCGCACCCAACCACCATCGACTCCCGCGACACGTACGCCACCCGCAGCTGCAGCCACACGTGCACCACGTGCGCCCCGTCCAGGCACGTGCGGAGCACCGTCACGATCGCCGCCAGCCCGCCGTCCATGTACAGGCACGGCGAGCCCCCGCGCCCGATCGACAGCGCGTAGAAGAACAGCGGGTCCACCGCCAGCGCCATGGCCCGGGCCAGGAGGAACGCCCGGTTCAGCCGCTGCACGCGCTTGCTCCGCGGGTCCACCACCGTCCCGAACGCGCCGCTGGGGCGGCGGCGCGGCCGCGGGCGTGGGGCCGGGAGTGGAGCTGTTGAGTTGGAGTGGATGGGGACCAAGGAGGAGCCGGCGGAGGCTTCCCAGAGCGGCTGGTGGGCGGCGTCGCAGGTTGTGGAGTGGAAGACCGGGACGCCGACCTGCGTGCACGCGTAGCATTCTACGACGTCGTCTCCGCCGCCGGTGCCTACGTTGCTGATGTCAGCGGTGGTGGTGTATGGTTCTGGGAGTCGTGGCCGGCGGTGGCCGGCGGAGAGGAAGGGGAGACGAAAGTTGGGCATGGTGGGGATTGGAAGGGGAGAAGTAAGAACGGTGATGGAACCACCATGGGAGAGAATTGGAGAAATTTGTTTAGGGAGGGGGGAAAGAAGAAGAGGGCGAAATTGAACAACAACACTTTGTTGATAGGGCCAAGACAAGAGAGAGAGAGAGAGAGAGTGAGGGGAGAATTGCTATATGAGGTAGTGAAGGGGTGGGACGATTTTGGTTTCTAGAAGATGAACTAAATTAATCAAGGTAGGATTTGATTACAAGGAAAGAGAGGAGAGTAATGTCATTGTCCTTATGATTATGAGTTAGATTAGTTTTGAAATAGTTGAGGAGTAATGGGGAAGATTTTTTCTTTCTGAGAATAATCGATGAGATATTTTTCTACTTTATGTTAGCGTTAACATATTTGTATTACTGGAGTTTTGTTATTGTTCGTGTTATATTGCATACACGAAATAATGCTAAATTACATTTATTTCTTCCTTCAACCTCAGACATTAAATGTGTATCATGTTGAATTATATCATAGTTTAAAGCAGTTAAATATATACGAACTAGTATCACTCTCATCTAGGAATGGTAATGGGGCAGGTTCGGGGCGGATTTTTTGGTATCCAGATCCGCCCTATCCAGACCCGCCCCATGGCAGGTCGAGTCCAGGTCGAGTAATTTATCATGGATTGCAGGTTGAGGCAGGTCGACCCAATGGGTAGGGCTGGCAACCGGTCGGTTTCGGTTTAACCAAAAACCGAATTCCCGGTTTTCGGTTAAACCGAGACCTGACCAGGAGTTGCCGGCCACCGACCGACCTCAGAGCCCCGGTTAGCCGCAAACCGACCGGGCGGTTTTCGGTTCAGGCGCGGTTAAACCGGGGAAACCGACGGATTGATGCGCGGTTTGGTTGAATGGCCTAACCGACCAAAAACCGACCGCCAACCACCCAATAACTCGACTCTTTCCTTCCTAATCAGAAGATGCAGATCGGAATTGCCTGCTTCCCAGCCACCACAGCTCCTGCAACCAGCCCTCCCAAAGCCCCAGCGACAGCAGCAGACCTCACCCCTCTCGCCGCCCTACAAACGGCGCCGGTCCCGAGCCCGGCCGCAACGCTGGTCCAAACGTCATCCCGATCCGTAGCCGCAACAATCCCACTCTCTGCCATCGCGTAGATCAACCCGACGATCCCGATTCGGTTTACCCAGACCCGGCCCACGTGGCCGGAGCTATTGAGGACGCGACCTCCCTCCCGGCGCACCAGGTCCACCTTTTTCAGGCGAGGCGGGCTGGCAGCTTCAAGTACAACCAATCTCCCCTCAATCCTTCTGTAATTTCTTCTTCCTCTTCTACCGCCGATTGCACTAAGAGGCACCTCTCCAACCTCGACAAGCTTCTCCAAAAACATGAGCCACCGACTCCTAGATACAACCGCCTCGATTCAATTCCCAAAGTTTCGAGACCCGACGGCGGCGCTTCGGCGGCGGGTTGGGCGAATCGGGGGAGGAACTTGCTGGAGGGGGTGAATCTGGCCCGGATCTGGCCCGAATTGAAGGCGGCGGAGGAGATGTCCCCCAAGCACTTGAACCGGCTGCAGCGGCTACTCTCGAAGACGCCCGAATACTCCCCTCGCAACAGCCTGGCTTCCTGGTGGATGGAGTACCACGACGGCGACGACTGGAAGGGGATGCTCGAGGGAAGGAAGGGGTCGGAGGGAAAAGGCGACCGGCGGGGGAAGGAAAGGGTCGGAGGGAAAAGGAGGGGGTCGCCGGCTGTGGGGGGAGAGTGGCGGTTGTGAGTCTGTGACGATTGACGAAGCGAACTCGAGGAATCGACGGATGGAAGTGCGAAGGCGAAGCGAGAGGGTCTAGGGTTGGGGGAAGGGTCGTTTCCGCTTAGCCCAAAACGACGTCGGTCGGTTAGCGACGGTTAGCCGGTTAGCCGGCCTCGGTTAATCGGCTAACCGCCTGCCCACAACCAGTTACCGCCAACCGACCGTGACTGTTTTTTCCCGGTTTTTGGTTAGCCGCTAACCGGCGGTTAACGGTTACCGGCCGGTTAGCCGCTAACCGAAAACCGAAATGACAGCCCTACCAATGGGTATGCAATTTATATGAAAAACATTAGAAATATTCGTTATTTTTATTATAAGACCAAGAAAACAATCAATATTATGATAAATGTTGTTAAATTATTAGAGAAATTGAGATTTTCACTCATTTATAACTTTATTATAGCTAAATTATCATGTAATAAATGAAAAATCCTAAGCAATTTAACTAAAATTACATGTAATTTAGGCAAGAACAGGTCGAGAATGGGGCAGGTCGGGTCGATGATAGTACCCATGCCCGACACGCCCCGCCTACGGGGCGGGTCGGACCCGTTCCAAAACAGGCCAAACAGATCAGGTAAAACGAGTCAGGTCAAAATTGTCATCCCTACTCTCATCTCTTATGGTGAAGGGGGAAAAAGAGGAGGGAGATACTTGGCTTTGTAAGAGCTAGGAAGGAAGGGGGATATTACTTCCAAGAAGGATCATAAGTACTGTGGTTTCCTCTTTTTGTTTGTTTATTATGATGCAAGTTACATATTAATTAGTGAAATTCTCAATACCTCTTGGTTTAGTTGTCCACTTTTTTTTTTTTTTTTTTACAACTTGGTTTAGTTGTCCACCATGTCACTAGTTGTGCCATTTTTTTTATTTTTTTTATAAAGGTGATATAGGTTTAACTTTTTTTTTGTTATTAAGGTACTATTTAAGTGATTCATATTTGGGATCTCCAAGTTCTAGACTAGTGGTATTACCACTAGACTAAACCCTTGTTTGTTGCTCATATGTTTTTTAGAATCGAACCAGAGGGTGAACCAGAAAAGTTAGTAGTTTAGGGTTCAGTGGTTAACTGTTACAATACTGTTGGTAAATCGTTGATAGAACCGTTCATGATATATAACATACGATACAAGACTAGTATATTACACTAATTTAAGAATGAAATTATCATTGACTATAATCAATTTCAAATTCATATCACCGCCAAAATATCTAATAAATCATTCGAACCGTCTCACAAAAAAAAATCATAATTTTTTAATTCAAATTAAAAATTACGGTGCCAGTCGGTAGTGGACCACGGAAAGTCGACAACAATGTTGGAAAATGAAAAAGGAAGCATATATAAAATTAATAATTATGTTTTGATGGTCTTAGTTAATATTATAGTATTTTTTTTTTAAAAAATTTGGTTAAAATAGTGGACCGGTCAAATCGTGGTGGTTCATATATATGATTTTATGTTGAACTATGAAAAACCGTTTAGTCCATCAATAACCGTCCAAGCAATGAACTGAACCGCTATCGTAATTGGTTTGCCAATTCTACTAGCCTAACCGTTGATTCGATTCGGTTCTTATAACAATGGTTTGCACTATACTACACTAAACAGTATCTTAAATTAGCACTAGGTCAAACTCTTGTTCGTGAGTTGGACAACATTTCACTAAGGAAATGAGAAACCTCGTTAATTAGCAACTCGAATACCAAACAGTAGAAATTAGCAGCTTGAGAGATGAGGTGCCATTTCATGGTTGATTGAGAGAATTGAAATGATATGATCGAAGGCGGGCCGGGTCCAGCTGAGTTGGGGTGGGTACGTGTTAACATGGAGAAGATGTGGACACAACCAAACAAATAAGGCTTGCCTCTTGTATGATTATTAGGATCACACACACTGTTACACTCGCAACAAGAAATGAACCAAGCAGCAAGTGTGGCCACTCTCTCTGTCTCTCTCTGTCTGTGTCTGGTACGTGGTATGATGCAGCAAGCAGGAACCAAGTGTGCCATTGCAAGCAGAGATGGAGGAGCTTCGATGGGGCTCCACAGATTGAATCAATCACCACACCCACACACATACACAGAAGTATAGCAGCTGCTTCGTATCCTACATATTCTTCTCTTCCGCCAGCTCGATCCCTCCTCAAATTAAACTTCTATCGATGGACCACCCACCAATCAGTTTTGTTTGTATATATTGGTGCCAGCCATGTCGATCGTGGAGTTCCATCAAACTTCACTTTCACTATTTATTCTTTGTTTCCTGGATCTAGTTTTATTTAATTTCCCCCATTTTCACTACCAAATGAAATGAATGGTTGATTTGATTCAATTCATTTGGTTCCAAATTGCAAGTTAAGAGTTGGGCCAAAAATATTGATCGATATCTTCTGCATTTTCCCCCCGATATTTGATTTTATGTATTTGGAATTTTGCTACATCTATGAAGTTTCTATGTTAATTGGCTTGATTTTGTGTTATATTGCAATGATTTGTTCTTAATTTGGATGAATTGGGAAAAGAAAAGGTGTTTAGTTCAGTGTATATGTAACATTCCGATATTTTTCTGACCAACATATTGCATGTTTTATGTCTACTGACACATGATTTTGTTTTTTTGCCTTTTTGGAGTGTATCATGGTGACTTTTCGAGAAGTGACCCATCATAGTACTCCTCTATACTGAACATATTTAATTTTAGAGTTCCTATAAGAACTTTTACGTTTGTTTTATGAACTCGTCTTGTCATTTAAAGTTGAATGATCCTTATAAATCATAGATCTCTCATACTTTATTGATATGTAATTTGGCTAATTAAGGTGTTACATTATAATAATTGCTGACAATTGTGGAAAAAATAGAAAAGTACTTATCCGGCCCATTTTTTTAGAGTAAATTTTCTTATAAGTTATAACTCTTATTTTTTATATTTGCATGTACAATCATTACTTTCTCGGCGTTTTGGATAAGATCAAGTGTGTCACATACTCGCATAATCGCATTGCATGTCCAATCAAAATTGTAATGGGCAATGGCAATTTCACTTTACCAGTTAGACGGACGCAGCAACGGAAGCCCACTGAGTCGGCCTAATTGTGTATTATGTTAAAGCCCATCGGCCCAAATTTTATTTCTTATCTCAATAAATATTATCCATTTTTTCTCAAATATTAAAAAACTAACAAAAAGTTTTCCGATAGCTATCCACTCCCCCTCCCCCTTCTCCCTTCCACCTCTAGTCGTTGCATCATTGTATCATTTTCTTCGTCTAAAGACTCTTCTTTTCCAATTTCGATCCCCCCTTGACGTTAGCAAATAGCAACACTATATAGTGTCGCTATCTTTGCACACTACTGGGCGGCTCGTTATTTCTATTTTTCGTTTGCTGTGGTTAATGAAAATAGATGGGGAGAGAAAATATCCGTCAATATAATGAGAGAGGAAGTGAGTTAGAGAGGGGAGAGGAGATGAAAAAAATATATTTGGTTAATCACTGAGAGAGAGGGAGAGAGAGAATACTAGATCCAATGCATGGGAGAGATAGCAAATTGGTGGAGTGATATTGGAGGATGAATTAATGGCGGCGGAAGGAGAGGATTTTCTGGCGGTGGAGGAGCCCAATGTTCCGGCTTCTTTTGTTCCCTCACATGGAACTAAGAGGGAATCGATCCTTGGAAGTATTGAGTTTATACAAGGAACTAAACTTTTCTAGACGAGAAGAAGAAAAAGGAGCTGAAGAGGAAGAAGGTTTACACCTGCTAGAATGGCGGGAAGAGAGATTAAGAGGCGTGACAACGGTGGAATCCTCGCCTTTTCTTCGTCGTGGTGAAGCATTTTATGGTGCCGGTTTGGGGGAGGGAGCCGATGAAGGGGCTACTGTGTCGTTGTCGTTCATTATTAGAGTCGTTATGGTCTTGTTAGAGGAGCTCGTGATGCTTTCCTCAATTAACCCAATATTCACAATCTCGTTAGCAAGTTGTGTATTTTCAAACAACAAAAAACTTACTAGCTAATTGACTAGCACTCATCCTCGTTCTCTCCATAATCATTTTCTTGGGTATCGGATGTGATCATACATTTCATCATCATACTCGCTATTATATTTATACTCATGCAAAATTGTAAAATACTTAGTAGCTATATCTTTATTGACCACTTGATGAATTTTGATTGATATACGAGAATTAATAGAATAGTGAATACTAACATATGACAAGGGTTAATATGTAGGAATGTTCAAGAGGCTCACTTTCATGGTGATCCAAATTTAGCTAGAGATTAAAAGTTAATGATTCAAATATCAATAATACAAAACGAGGGAAACTAAAGAGGAAGAGGAGGGGGACTCTTCCGAAGAAAGAGAGGATCCCGACGAAACTGCTGAAATAGAAGAGATTCAAATGAATGGAAAGAAAAAAACTAAGGATGAATTCCATTATCACTTTCTAGAGGGGAATCAAGAAGAATCGAAATTCGAAATATTGGTAGATAAAAAACAACAAAATTTATTCTGGTTTGAAGAACCCTCGTAAAAAAAGTAGAATATAAAAAACATTAGTGTCAAATTGTAAACTATGAATTCTCATTTGTTCTTTTCCCTTTCTTTTTGGTGCAGGAGTAAACATAAATATTATATATTTCTTAAAGATAGTATAAAATTATTTAAGCATGATTTGTAGTTCCACACCTTTCTAAATTAGTTAATCATTGTCTAAGATGAAAAATTATTCTGTTTTTTGGCCACTAAAAATTATTCTAATTATTGATGTATTATGAAGGGAAAAATAAAAATTCTAAATTGGTCCACTAAAAAAAACACCCAACATTTCTCTACACCTCATTTTATGGAACAGTCCTTCCAGAAACCCTCCCCAGAAACCGGAGCCGTTTCGTGAAAATTTGACAGCAGCTAGTCGCTTAGCTGCACGGTGGAAGCAAGCAATTAGGGTTTTCCAATTCCTCTTCTGTAGTCATCGATCGCCATGTAGTAGAGTTCTATATCCTCTTTCTTCCCCACCCATCTGCGATACCGACAGTTGCTCTGGTAAATTATCTTCCGATCTTATTGCTGAATTCTTGTTTGTGTCGTGTTTTTTCAATTTGCGCTTCCCTACTCGTGAATCTATATACTCTCTGCTTAGATTAGGGTTACACGGATCTCTCCCCTTCAAATCCCGTTGGGGGTATCTCTTCCCTTCGATTATGAGGTTACCCACCTCAGTGAAATCCCTGTTCCAGTTAGAGGCAGCGGTGGGGAAGCCAACCAGACCTCCATGGATGTTTTCGTCGCTGTTTTCGTACTCAGAAACTCCTCAAAAGAAAGCAAAGGCTGCGCCTTTGCAGGAGACTAGAATGAGGGACAGAATGAATCTGCATGTCAAAGGTGGTGATGGTGGGGGTGGGTGCTGCAGCTTCCACAGAAGCAGGGTTGTTCGCCGTGGGAGAGCCGATGGTGGGAATGGTGGAAGAGGTGGTGATGTGATCTTGGAATGTTCCCCTGCAGTTTGGGACTTTAGTGGTTTGCAGCATCATGTTAATGCAGCCAGAGGGGGTCATGGAGCCTCCAAGAATATGATAGGCACTCGAGGAGACGATAAGGTTGTCCGAGTACCCGTTGGCACTGTGATTCATCTTGTTAGGGGTGAGCTTCCATCTTTAGTTCAGGCCAGATCGACTGAAGCTGCTTTGGATCCCTGGGATCTTCCTGGTACGTTAGATACTGATCCAACTACAAATTTTCAGCAGGAGGCATTGGCTACTGAGAGGTCCGAATCAACTTATGAAGAATCACCGAACGTAGATGTTGACCAGAATAAGCTGACAACTGCAGAAAGTGAAGATGTACAATACAATGTTGCAGAATTGACTAAACCAGGTCAGAGAGTGATCGTTGCTCATGGAGGGGAAGGTGGTTTAGGTAATGTTTCTACTTCAAATGTTCCGAACAATGCCAAGACTGGAAAGCCAGGGATATTGAATAAGGGAAACTCTACTGATCCTGATGATCACCCCTCCCTCCGAGCTGGTTCACCTGGTTCTGAAGCTGTCTGCATACTGGAGCTCAAGAGCATTGCAGACGTAGGCCTTGTGGGTATGCCAAATGCTGGTAAGAGCACTCTTCTGGGTGCTTTATCCAGAGCGAAGCCCACAGTCGGCCACTATGCCTTCACAACACTGCGGCCAAACTTAGGGAAAGTGAATTTTGAAGACTTCTCAGTCACAGTGGCTGATATCCCTGGACTGATAAAGGGTGCTCATGTGAACCGTGGACTTGGCCATTCCTTCCTACGACACATCGAGAGAACAAAGGTGTTGGCTTATGTGGTAGATTTGGCCAGTGGATTGGATGATGGTAGGAAAGGACTTCCACCATGGGAACAACTGAGAGATTTAGTGTTGGAGCTGGAGCACCATCAGGAAGGGTTGTCTGATCGGCCTTCAATAGTTGTGGCTAACAAGATAGACGAGGCTGGGGCGGAACTAGTGTTCGAAGAATTGAAAAGAAGGGTGCAGGGTGTTCCCATTTACCCAGTATGTGCTGTTCTGGAAGAAGGGTTGCCTGAGATGAAAGCTGGTCTCAGGGTGCTGGTGGATGGTGGAGGGAAATCTGGGCGACTCTGCTTGGATAATATTGATTGTTCTGCTGATAAGATGGAGCCAGAAGCTGGAAACCTCTGTGAAGTCAGCTCGCTTTGATATTTTCTAGGCTACTCTGAGGAAGTCCAAAGCAACCACACGTGTGCTGTGCTTCCCTACCTACCAATGTGTTTGTTACAATTACTGTTTGAGTAATACTGATCCCTGATTATTTGCCAAGGCATCAATCAGTATGCTGCAATAGAAGTATAGTTGAGGCATGAGATTTGTCGAATTATATATTTAACTGGTTCTCAATTTCTCGATTGAGGGGATGAGTTAAATTCAGGGGAAACCATAATTAGTATGGGAAAGTCAGTCGAATAAAGAAAGCTCGCAGAAGTTATTGGAAGGGGGAAAGTTAGGTCTTTGATTTAAGATCGATATATTATGGAGCGGTTTCAGCAATTCTTTGGTGTGCTTATGCTACAGGACTTGTTTCTTGCTGATACTTTCTGCAATCTAAATGTTTCCCAATTAATAGAGTGCTTGTGTTGTGTGAATTTTTTATAATCTTGTTTATTTCTGAGGATTACAGATTTATTGTCTCGTCTTATCCGTCTTGTGTCTTTTTAAGTTCTTGTACCAAAACTTGGTTAATAGTTGCTCGCAAGAATGTCTCTCAGTTCCTCGCTTCTTTCTTTTCTTTTAGGCTGACTTCTCAAAGCGAATGTTGAGTTTTGTACAGCGGAAGGGTTAAAGAGACAGCACTAGATGTGGAACTTTGCATCGAACTGTCTTGCTGGAAGTGTCAGTTTAAAAAGCTCATCAAGTTCAAAGCCAAATCAAGTCACCCCATCTTCTGAATACTCGGACGATGAAGCATCTTCAGTTGTGAGCAGAGAAGAAGGCCTGGAGTGCCCAATATGCTGGGAATCCTTCAACATTGTGGAAAACGTGCCCTACGTCCTCTGGTGTGGGCATACCCTTTGCAAAAACTGCATACTGGCTCTCCAGTGGGCTGTTGTGAAGTTCCCAACTTTACCAGTTCAACTCCCGCTCTTCATCTCCTGTCCATGGTGCAATCTCTTGTCATTTCGCCTGGTCTATGGTGGAAACTTGAGGTTTCCACGCAAGAACTACTTCCTACTGTGGATGGTTGAAAGCAAGAATGATGATAGAGTCAAGACTCGTGCATCATCTACCTTTGAGGATCATCCAAATGTCTGGTCGGTGAATTCCAGCTTGGCTGGTCCTGGAAGTCAACATAATAATCACCATCACCATCACCATCACCACCCGCGGCAATCTAGGTCAAACCATGATGCTGTTCATGGCAACAACACTCCTCATTTCCTCAGTGTGGGGAGGATAAAATCGTCGATACAGAAGTCGTTGGTTTTCTTTGTTCACCTTACTGCAAAGTTCCCTCTGGTCATCATATTCCTTCTCATAATCTTATACGCCGTACCTGCCAGTGCAGCCATTCTGGCGCTGTACGTTCTCATCACTGTTCTGTTTGCCATACCGTCGTTTCTCATACTCTATTTTGCTTATCCCAGTTTGGATTGGCTTGTTAGAGAAATCATCACTTGATATCATTGTATTTGCCAGCTACTTCATAATTGGACGATTTCACGAGCCTCAGAGCTAGAACGGCCTTGTGTATCTATGTAGATTATATATTATTACCTATTGTAATGAATCTCTTCTGGCTGCTCCCCATTGGATTAGGGTCTATGTTGGCAGCAGAGGTACTGGAGGCAGAAGCCATCTTCTGCACTGTACTTTCTGGTTACTGGTCATCTAGAGAGATCTCTTTATGTAAGACAAGTTTGTAGGTGATAGTGGATTAGGTAAATTGGTTTTTAATATGTGTAATTCATTGCTAAATGCTAGTGCAGTCAGCTTCAAAATCAGTGGTTTCTGTGTTATGCTCGTCTTTACTTGGCCTTCGTCCTTTGTCACCATCAATGAGCAAGTGTTAACGTAGGCTGATGCTCTTGAATAGCCAAACGCTACGATTTCAGGCTGTGGATGTCCTATAACTTATCTCTAATGATACCAACTGCACAAATTCAGCTGGTGGATGGCATCTTTTGCCGGTTGATGTCCATTGACTTCATTATGAATGAAAGATTGAGATTGTGGATTACGCGTGGCGATCCATAATCGCCTACAAATTTCATTTTACAATGAGGATATGTTTCAAATTGATGGTTTAGGAAAGCGGTTACTCAATTCTCCTCATGTGAAACGAGACCGTTCATTTCCCATCCACAGAACAGAAAGGAAGAAAAATGAAGCTGCCGGGAATACTTCATTGCAGGCATATCGCCACGTGTCGCAAACATAGCTTCGAAACTTAGCCACTCAATATTTGGTAGGCAAAAGAATTCAACTTTCAGGATCTTCCATCCAACCCGCCAGCCAAACCAGAAGTATTGTCGCAGAGGGAATGGCGGGAGCCATTAACCTTTGCGGTTCTAAGTCAGCCGCATTACAGAATCTAGCGGTGTCTTTCAAGGACACAAATCATGTATTCCTTGGTGGGTCATCGTTGAAGGTCAAGGATCTCTGCTGGGAATCCAAACTCAGATTCTCCAGCAGTAGAAGAGCAAAAAGACTGGGGCTTGTAGTTGCTGCTGTAGAAGAAGAAACCATCTCAAAGGGAAGCTCTGATGGCAGGTTTTACTTCAACTTCACTGGCTTTCCTTTTCCTCTTGGCCCTTTTCTCAACAGGCGTACCCTTAGAACTGAGGTCAGTCCCTCTTCCCATCTCCTTCTTTAACAGTTGCGGCTAGCAAAGTGGTCTTCTTTGTTAAGTGGGTTTGGTTTGTATGTGTTGGTATAGGCTGTGAAAGGATCCATATGGCTGTTTGAACAAGAACAAGCATTAGGGTTCAGCAGTGTCTCCACAAACATCAGAATGACAGTCATCAAGCTCAAATCTGGAGGCTTGTGGGTGCATGCTCCCATTGCCCCTACAAAGGAGTGCGTTCAGGTTCTTCACCTTTAACTTTTGATATCCTAATTGCAAGGAAATTATATAAGATCGATAATTGAGCCTCTTAGCAACTCAAATTATGAAGATGAGACGTAAATTTCAGAGACTCTGACCGAGAACCGGGAACTCTCTTGTTTGAATCCTCACAACTTCTGGGATATGATTAAAGTTCCATGCTTGGATCTCTTCAATCAAATCAAGAGTTATTGAGATGAATTTGTGTTTACAGTCTATTAAGTACAACTCGTGGCTTTGCTGACTAGAGATCATGGTTTATGTTTGTCGCAGCTTCTGAAGGAGTTGGATGCCCCTGTGGAGTATATCATTCTGCCTACATTTGCTTATGAGCACAAAATTTTTGTTGGTCCGTTCTCTAGAAAGTTCCCCAAGGCCAAAATATGGGTTGCACCAAGGCAGTGGAGTTGGCCATTGAATTTGCCTCTTGAATTCTTCGGGATCTTTGGTGCCAAAACTTTGAAAGACGAGGATTTGTCAACCCCATGGGCAGATGACATTGAGCAAAAGGTTCTTAGCGCACCAGAAGTTGGTAATACATTTTAATTTCCCCCACATTTTAACCAAGCTGATTTGTATTTGGGCAGCCTAATAAGTTTTCATGTAACATTTGGAGCTTGTTTTCAGGACTTGGACCTTATGTGGAGGTTGCTTTCTATCATAAGCGCTCGAGATCACTTCTGGTGACCGATGCAGTGATTTTTGTACCAAGAAAGCCACCTGATTGTATTGGCAAGGATTCACTGTTAGCTTCTGCGAAGAATGGGTTAGCTGTGAAAATCCTTAGTAAAGGGAAGGAGGTACCCGAGGATCCCGTTGTTGATAATCCAATGACCCGTCAAAAGGGTTAGTGTTTCTTTTGTTCCATATCCAACACCCAAAAACTAGGGACTGTGTTACCTGTACATATCAAAACAGTGACCTTGTAATTATATTCTCATGGTTTAGATAGACCATTTAAAGTGTTAGAATCAACTAATTGGATTGCTTAATTTGTGCAGGGTGGGAAAGAATGGTTCTCCAAATCCTATTCCTCGGACCATCAAACCTGTTAGAACCCAATACCAGTTTTGCTCAGATGTCGCAGAAGTTGATAGTCTCGCCCATTATAAAGACACTAGTATTCAGCAAAGTCCCAGAAAAGGTAATGAGAGAACTTCATTATCCAATTCTTTCAGGGTAACCAGTTCCTCGTTTGTCCTTGGTTTGATAGTATCGGGTTTCGGTGTGTCTCTTCAACACTACACAGGTAAGAGATTGGATAGATAGGATTGGGAAGGACTGGAGATTCAAGAGGATCATCCCAGCTCATTTTGCTGCTCCAGTGAATGCCAGTAGGTCAGATTTCATGGCTGCATTTGCATTTCTGGACGATCTACTGGGGGAACGATATGTTACGCGGCCATCACTATCTCTCCTCTTCGCATCCATCATGGGGAAAGCTGCAACTTACTTTCCTCCAGATGACATGAAGACTCTATCATCCCTTGATCAGTTCTTGGTTTCTGTTGGTGCAGTCAAGAAGACTGTCTCGGGCCGCCGGAAGAGAAAAACAGCATTCTAGAACTGCAATGTAAGCATCATCAGTCTCTAGTACTTGGTGATAATACACAAGTACTTGTGCCACAGTTTAGTCGTCATACTGAATCCAAATTCCACAAAGTTGAATATATATATATATATACCGTCGATTTAAGCACGCATAAATGGTTTCGACCCACATTTTCTTCGTTTCCTCGGATTTCGAATAGTTTTGCAGAACAAGTTGCAATTGCAGTGTGTTTCTTGTATCCTTTGTGGTCATGGATCATGTGGACGAATTTGTCATGATTAACGTTAGGAGTCTGATGAAGGGATATGTGTTGCTTGTTGTTATGATGTGATTGTTGTTGGAACATTGTTTATCATATGTTTGATGAAATCTGTTGCTGGACTATCGGTTGGCCATAACTGTGGTACCCGCCAAAGCAACATTCATCCATATAACTAGTTTCATAATGGAAAATTGGCCGGCGTCCCATTCCCAATAAAAAAAACATCATAAAGCAATCTACTAATCACCAACAATTCGGTTGAACATTTTCTATGTACACTGCTAGTCTAGTTGAATATATAATAAGATTTAGGGGAATCTGCAGAGCTCACCTGGTAAGTAGTAGGATACAATGTATCCAAGAAAGGGAGAAAATTAGCCAATACCATGTATCGTGTTGAGGTCTAGCGAGAGTTTAAAAACGATTATAGTGGTTTATCGAGAATTTAAAAACGATCGTAGTTATTCTTTTATATAAGTACGTACGTCCTTAAAGATGAAAGAATTTTTCATCGTGACTTCACATACGATTGTTGTTATGTGAGCATGAAGGTTTAAGACCGTGAGGTTATGTTCCATTGATATACTTGAGTATAAATTCGTCAAGTGGAGTTCTTAAAATCTTACTAGAGTCTAACAAATGGTTATACCTTTTCTTCCTTACCGTCAACAATTTGCATATGTTTCTCTATATCTCTATAGCAACCACTCTTTCTAAAACATTCATTGTATATTTGTATTCCTATGTCGATATATATATTGACTTGATCATCCGAGTGCAGACCGGGACTACCCCTACCTCTCTATATTCAAGAAAATCAAACAAATGAGAACTCTAATAATTCAGGGCCAATTATTCATATTCCCAACCCAATCGAATATTGTTTGACCGAACCGAAACACTAATTAATTATTATCCATACAACATATACATGAACTTGTTAGAATTAAACACACCTCAAAAGAAGGAATGATGAATTGCGATTATCTTGATCATATATCATGATCAATCATCATCCTCACAAAATCCTAATAATAATATACCAATGCGATTTGTTCTATAGTTGTTACTTAGCTTGGTAGATGCTAGATAGTATCCCATTAGGGGTGTTCAAATGGTTACCATAGTAATAATCAAACCAAATAAGTCTAAAATATATTAACCATGGAATACAATATCATAATCAAACCGTCCAAACTAATACAACAACCAAATTAACCAAACTAAAGTTTATTCGGTTTGGTTAATTGGTTAACCAAAATAACCAATATAACACCACATTATCATTAAGTGAGAAAATTTTTCAGTTAGTGCATCAATTTGCAATTTATATAATGAACAACACATAACAATCCACATAATTATAGTTAACCCTTAACGTAAATACATGTAACAAATACAATTATCTTACATTTGACTCTTGAGTGGTTATACAAAGTATTAAGTATGTGTATATAATATACATTAGATATATGAAAAATTACTTAACTGGTTAGTTTGGTTTGATTGGTTAGGAGTGTCTGAAACCAAACCACCTAAACCAAACAAGCTAAATTTTTTAACCAAACCAAAACAATTATCGAAATTAACCAAACCATGGTAACCACACCGTTTGAACACCCTAATCCCCACCTCAGTTATGAAAAAGGTGAAGCAGCCACTTCAATGATTGATCAAGGAGGGAAAAGCCTTACCTGCAGGGGAAGCAAAGCTTGCTTGCTTGCTTTCCAATTCCATCATTGAATTCAAGAGCGAGGAAAGAAGAAAAGAGATGGGGTTTAGGGATTTGGGATTGCATGGGAATCATCATATTATGCTTTCTGACTTTCTTTCTTCGTCAAAGGGAATGGGGACAAGGTAAGAGTCTAAGAGACAATTTTGTGACAGTAGAGAGAGAGAGAGAATCGTCTTGGATCCTTTCTTCTCCACGTTCACTCTTGGTGGGTTGGTTTCTGCTTTCACTTCTATCTCGAGTAGCTTCCATTAACGTTCATTTCACCTTTCCCCCCTGCTTTAGCTTTTTCTTGATCCAACAATGGCATGTTCTTTGCTGACATTTTTATCCTAAAGAGAGATTGTTGATATGATTTGAATCGGACTATCAGTAGCTACTCCTCTGTAATCTGTAATCTCCTTGATATAGTGAAACTGGCTCTCTCTCGCCCGTGGACGTAGCTAACACACATCGTGTTAGTGAACCACGTAAATCGTGTGTCTGTGTTTTTCGATTCTCGCTTTCGTATTCTTGCTTTGTCAATTCCAGCGATTTCCCGATCCGTAGCAGCGCGTTTATAACAGAGATTGTTGGACCACCAGTCCACCATTGTTGATATGAACCTACCTACCTTTGGAGAAATTACTTGACAAGTTACTCACCAACATATATCCACACATGGGTATATGGTAAACTTAGTAGGAAATTGAGTATATATCTAGATCACGGCTTGAATGCTAATTATATGAAAAAATTTATATTTATTGTGCTTTCGCAAGATGATAGAGTAGTCAATTATTCGAACTTGAATTGTGCTAGCTAGAAGCAAGGAATACCAAATAATTTTTCAAAACCATTATTAGTGATGAGGTGAAATATGGATGATTCTCATTATTTGGAATCGGTGGCTAGAAAGAGGAGTGCAATCGTGATTTACTTCAACACCTCAAAAGAGGGTAACAACATAAATATCCATATTAATGCTACTGTTGGCTATTGTCTCGTGTTTAAACAAGGTAGAGTTCGATGGTAATTTGTTTCATGACTTAGAGGAAGGCAACAATATGAAGCTCCACAATTGTATCCCTTGGGAAGTCGATCAACGAGTTTGCTCATTCTCGATCTTGAATATTTAGCATACATCTTTTGGTATTTGTGTCATACTTTGAAATTAATTGGATCGTACATAGAAGGTCAATCTCCATGGAAAGTTACATACATGAATGAAACTAAATTATCTGTGTTATCAATGTCAAATAGCAATTGATAAGTAACCACCTCAAGTAAATATTAGAAAATAACCAATTGCATCTTAATTCCAAAATTCAAGTATCATAAATTTACTTTTTGAAAGAGTTGCTTTCGAAACTTTGAGAAGTTCATTTTCGGTCAATTGATCCCAACAAATGAAAAGTCCACCGACCCCTTTACAATAATGAAAATAATTGACCAAGTGACTATAGTAATACAAATTTAAGGAATTAAATGCACCAAATTTAACTTTCAAAAATTGAATTTTGAATCAACCAAAATTAGTGTCTCCCCATCTATTCAGCCACCAGTCAACATTCTGTTTCCCTTTAGGCCAAATTAAAAAGACTATAAAATTATATTTTGTGTAAAACATTCTACCAAAAAAAATAATCTATAACTATCCTAAATCACCATATAACTTTTGACATTTGCAAAAATGGTGAAGCTTTTCTTCTTTACTAAAAAAAAAAAGTACCAAAGTCATTAGAGCTATAGTTGAACCTATATAGTGGTATATCTAACCTAACTGGAAAGTTGAAAAGAAAACTCACTCTATCACTAATTGGTGTATACATTATTTTTTTGTCATTGATAGATTGTTTATAGGTGTTGAATTGTGGAGTGCACCTATGCATCTTTACGTAAATTATTCATTAATGTGATTGGTTCAAATTGAATGAGATCTTATATAAAGATTGACGAAAAAAACCTTTGTATAAAAAAAATTCAAACTTGCCTAAGAACAAAAAAACTAATTATTATTCATTTTATAAAAATACCAAATTTATAATCACTTTTTTTGTTGAATTTATATAATCATTTTCGATAAATTACTCCATACTTTTTTTTTGTGATAATTACTCCATACTTATCATTTGGCATGTGAGGGCAATGAGTATATAAATAGGAGATTTGTAAATTCTGCAGCGGAGAGAAAGGAAAAGCTCACCAAACTCAACCTGGGGGGAATTGATCTTGATTTTGATTGCTTGCACGATCTTTCTCCGGCAGAATCGACCGACACGGAAGCTTAATTCATATTATAATCTTGGAATCTGTCTTCTCAAAGGCAAAATCCAACTCCAAATCAAATCTCTCACTCTTCTTCCCTATGAATTAGTTTTCAGTTTCCCCTGTTTCCCCTTTTCCTTCGCTTTCTGGTTACGCACAATCCTCTGTTTTTTCGTGCCGCACTTCCTTTTCCGTAACACCAACAACCAAGGAAGGTACGCTCCTCCTCGATAATCCCCACATCCTACTTTCAGTAATCTCGTCCTTCTTCCTCCTAAAGCTTCGATCTTTAGCCGAAAATTTTCTGGGCATTTGCTTTGGGTTAACGGGCCGGACTCTGTTTGATTTCGGTTCTGGATTTTTCTGGGTGGGTTTTAGCTTTCTTCTCTTTGGGATTCCTGAGCCATTTGGGTTGTTGAATGTTAGTTGAAGTTGGGTGTGTGTGATCTTCCCATTTTGTACGGCTTATTTTGCTTGTTCTTTTTTTATTTTATGTCAAATGAGACGCCGCTGTTCATCCAATTTGTTGTTATGGACGGTGAGGGGATTAGAAGATTTGCTGTTTCGAGTTCCTTATAGTATGTAATTATGTTGATTCATGGCTTTCGGATTAATTGCATTGTGCCACATTAAGTGTTTGAATCTGCCATTTCTGATTCTCTTGGAAGATCAACCTGTTTGCTGCAATTCCAGATTCACTTACTTTTCCTGTTACATAATTATTACTTGTCCTTGATGTGTAAGGGATGGACTGAGTAATAGTGTTTGATATTGATGGTGGATTCAGGGTTCTGTGAAATGATTATTGTATGTTCTCTTTCTGGTTTTGTCATTGGGTTTCTCGATCCATTTTTTCTCATAAGTCTGCAGATTGAGAACCCTTTTCATTGTTCTTGATTAGTCTGGATATAGTACAGTTCTAGACTCCAAATGTAGGTTCATAAACAATATTGAGAACAAATTATGAAAATCAGTTCTGATTAATTGCCTGTTCCTTTTTATTTCCTCTGAAGGTTAAGATTAGTACAGTGTTTTAGGAAATTTATCTATGGAGGTTGTTAAGATTATGACAAGGACATTATTTCTTGGCAGGCCTGAGGTTCCCTTCTACAGAATCAAAGGACTCTTCTCAAAGTCCATTGCTTCTCGCGGCATAACTTGGTAAGTTATCATTCTTATGCTAATTCTCTTGTATTGCATCTTCTGGTCACACTAATCACAGATATTTGATGGT